GGAAACACCCATTCACACCCACACATACACTCTGGCCAACTTAGTTTATTCAATACACTTATAGTGCATGTGTTTGGACTGTGGGGGAAAACGGAGCACCCACACAAACACAGAGAGAACATTCAAACTCTAAACAAAAATGCCAACAGACCCAGCCAGGACTCGAACCAGTGACCTTCTTGCTGTGGGGTGGCAACGCTACACACTGAGCCCCAGTGTCGACGTTTTAGAACATATGAAAAAGTTTGCCTTTTTTTTTTATAGATATATATATATATATATATATATATATATATATATATATATATATATATATATATATATATATATATATATATATATATATATATATATCAGAATTAAAGGTACGCTAGCTATCACTGGCATGGTACATATTTAAAAGACAAAAGATACCTAAAAGGTCAATATTAATACCTCAAGGGTACATATTAGTACCTAAAAAGTTCTTAAGTGTTCCTCTTAAAATTTGTAGGTACTAATATATTCTTTTGTGGTACCAATATGAACCCTTCAAGTACAAATGTGTACCTTTTTTAAAAGGTACCACCCCAGTGACAGCTCGAGTACCTTTTTTCTGAGAGTGTATATAAATGAAACACTTTCAGCGTTTTATCAACTGTTTTCATCTCCAAATATGATTAGATTGTTCAAGTGGAAACTGAGAGATTATTTTATATATAACATGTAAATTATATGAAATATACATTATAACTTCACTGAAACAACAAATCTAAGAGTGGCTTAAGAGTTTTGCACAATGATGTATTGATGGAAATGTACTATATATAGGTGAATTTGGATAAAGTTTCATTCACTTATGTTAAATCAGAACTGAACACAATAACTTGGCTTTAAAGATCTGTGATCAAGCTATGATAATAATTTTCTGGTAATATGAGTGAAGCTAGTACGAGAAATGAGCCTCACATTTTCTGATCCTGTGAGCAACATTATCTGTTAAAGTTATGACCAGTTCATGAGATTAGTGTCAATAAAAACAAACATGCATTAATGAATATTAAGAGAAGAGTTTAGTGCAATTAGGCTAGTTTGAAACATATCCTTTAATCTTACACATTTGCATGCCAAATTTAGCTCTGGGGAGTCTCATTACATCATATTAAATAAACATAATTCTATTCATAATGGTTTTGCTGATGTGTTTTTGCTTTCGAAAGTGCTTACGTGTATGTGAGTGTTTGTAATGGGTGGGGTAAAAGCAATAGGTCATTATTAGAGTTACAGTATTTAAAACAGTGTGCTAATGCTCGTCACCTTGCCTGAGGCTGTCATCTTTAACCTCCTCAACCCTGTGCCACAACATTCCTCCTTAAAAGACAAGTTTCTCAGAGAGCCAGAATGACTGCACTGTCTTTTCCTAATAGGCTGGAATATATTAGATCATTTGGGCTTACAAGTTCAAATGGTTTTCTCACCAGAGTGTTTTTAGTCTGATTTGTGTGAGTTCTCATTAACTAACACAAATTTAAAAGTTTTTTTTTTTTTTTTTGTAGTTCACAACTGGTTTCATTATCATTTTATGAAAGATTCAAATACTCTTTTCACAACATTTCTGCTTAAATCTGGTTTGGGGTCATATTTAATTAGCCATTTTCCCATAGATGGGTTGCGGTTGGAAAGGTAGCCTATCTGCTGCGTAAAAAAAGTGCTGGATAAGTTGGAGGTTTATTCCGCTGTGGCGACCCCGGATTAATAAACGTACTAAGCCGAAAAGAAAATGAATGAGTGAATGAATGAATTAGCCATCATTCTCCACCTTGCGTGCATACAAAAACAGCCAGTACAAAAACTACCACTAGAGTGCGATCTGGTCGCGCGGAGCATACAGCGGACTCTCCTGTGCTAGTTACCCATAACACAACACTTGTCATGACTAGCATTCATGAAGTTTTATTTAAATTTTAGAAACGTGGCTTTCCACTCAACGACAGAGTTAAAATGCAACTGTCAAGTTTAACAAGGTAACTAATAATAGATATGAAGTAGTCAGGCTCAGGGTCGAGATAACCTTTAAACGCGCACCGACAGCCGTGTTGACGTTTTTACGCGCTCGCGTTGCGCGTGCACCCAAGACGCAACAGGCGGACCACAGTTTGCGCGAGTGAGCAGTCCGGTTTAGTTCACATGTAAATTCTAAGAAGGACAGCCTTTGGAAAAGGCGTCACGAAGTGATTTTTTAATCATACATTTTTAGTTGATTGTCTTTCACCAAGCGGAGAGGACATATTCCCAAGCCTTTTGCATTTTTTTCAGTTGATTGGCAAATTAGCATAAATGCGGTTCGTGTAGATGGAAAATTAGACTCGCAAACGTCTACGTGAAACTCCTCTACGTAAGTTTACGTATGTAGCTTCTTCCTAATTATAACCCGAGCTTGCGGTCAGTAACTGTATCTGGAGGGTCAAAGGCTCGCGCAATGAGGACTCAGCCCTGCACCTCGACTGGCCTCTGACAACTTCACTACATCCACAGGAGTCGCGGAACATATAGGTTTTTCAACCCACTAAGGTAAAGTAGTCTCTGAAAACTACATTAGAATAACCCGTTTTTACACAGGCTAATGCTGCTGTACAACTACCGTTATGTTTAGTATATGATTACTTCATAAGCGTTCTCAGCTGGACTTTGTTGGCGAGTGACACAGACTGTAACCAGTGGGAACAGTCTGGTCATGTTTCACAACTTTTTGAATAATGTTTAGTGTCTTTATTAGTTTTAATTGTGAAACTGTGATAGGTAGGCTTTAAAATGGTTCACCCAAAAGAAAAATCTGTTATCATTTGCTCACACTCATGTCGATCCAACTTAATGAAAATAGTAATGATGGTAACCGCTTACAAGTTTTTAGACAGTTGACTTGCACTGCATGTTTGGGCACACACAGTATAGCCTTTATTCTAAATTAAAAGAGTTAGCCCATGTTTTTGTATTAGGGTAAGCAGACACAGAATACTGTAATGGAACACAGATCTTTTATATATAGGAAAAGGTGCTGGATGTTTCCACATGGGTGGACCAGCGCTGGCTTGTGTGCCATCTCCATGGGAAAGCTGTTAATGGGACTCTAGAGAATGAAAGAGACGTAAAGAGCTATGATGCTTGATCAACTATAATCCACAAGATCTTGGAAAATAAAGTGGTCAAAGGATTTAACATTGTTTAGAAATTATCCATTTAAGGATCCAGAAAAATTCATTTTGCATTTGTTTTTTTGTTTTTTGTTTTTTTTCTGTCTAATGCTTGAGCATGTCATTTTCTATACCACAGTAGCACAGTGTTTCTGTATTTTGGCAGGAATAAACATTCCAGAAAATTAACATATTAACTAAATTCTTTCTACATTTCTCAGCCGTGTTTAGCATGTTTTTTCTTCCTCACACAATCACTCTGATTGGCTGCTGGGCTTGCCAGAAGTCGGGCAGCTCCATTTCTCAAACAACAGACTCCATTGTTATCTCTGAAACCCTCCAGCTCTTGATAAGGTCGCCACTTTACACTGATCTCAGTTCATTTTATGCCTGTTCCTTTTAAAAGACAAGTGCAGGGTTTATATGCGAGAGATGGTCCTGGTGCAGGGTTAAATGCAAATTCTTTAAAAGATGACCTTTGGAACCTCTTACTGGCCATTGTGGAAGCAGGAGATTGGTCTTCCTAAATGTGAAGGGAGGTTTCCTGTTGGGTGCATCTTGTGATCGACAAGCTTCCTGCCAGGAGGAAAATGTAGAGTTGTTGAGGGAGAGGGGGGTGTGAGGGAGATCGCTTTGTTATGTCGAAAGCACACTGAAGTGCTGAAAAGTTCTTGGTGTTCTTTAACACTGTGTGTTTAGCTTGAGCTCCAACTGTAAGTCAGCATTTATAAACACTGTAAAACCAAACTTTATCAAATAACATGAGTGTAGTTTACTCAAAATTTACTGAAAGTTAATTCTACTCATTTGAAAAGAATATGAACTCAGTGTTGAAGGTAATGAGTTAATTGAACATCTCATTACTTCAGCCTAAATGGAGTAAGTTCACAGTATTTGTATAGATTAGTTTTTAACTCAAAAGGTTTGTAGCAATCGGTTTCCTTAAACGGTTTGAGTTGCCTTAACTTACTGTGTTGTACAGTACTCAGTTGGTTTGGGTTTTTTCATTTATTGGGTTTTACTGTGCTCAAATTGCTTCGTTTACTCAAATGGATTGTTCATGGTACTCATTAGGATTTACTTTTGAACTTAAAAGGATCGATGCAATCGATTTTCTCAAATGGTTTGAGTTACCTAAACTTATTGGGTTTTACATTAGATGACTGTAAATTACATCTGCAAAGTCTTTATAAACTTTATATTTGGGAATTTAATTTAATTGAAGAAAAGCAAGCTATTCAAATGTATTTTACTGATATTTTAAATCTATTAATCAGTTGAATACATTTAATTAATTATAGTTGATAGTTGATTATAGGCGAGGCAGTGGCGCAGTGTCGCCTCACAGCAAGAAGGTCGCTGGTTCGCTGGTTCGAACCTCGGCTCAGTTTGCGTTTCTGTGTGGAGTTTGCATGTTCTCCCTGCCTTCGCGTGGGTTTCCTCCGGGTGCTCTGGTTTCCCTCACAGTCCAAAGACATGTGGTACAGGTGAATTGGGTAGGCTAAATTGTCCGTAGTGTATGAGTGTGTGTGTGTGTGTGTGTGTGAATGTATGTGTGGATGTTTCCGAGAGATGGGTTGCAGCTGGAAGGGCATCCACTACATAAAAACTTGCTGGATAAGTTGGCGGTTCATTCCGCTGTGGCGACCCCGGATTAATAAAGGGACTAAGCCGACAAGAAAATGAATAAATAATTTAATTATAGTTTACACTTAATTTAGGTTAATCATAATATTATTTTACATATGTGTAATATTTGAATATATGTATTCAACTATTTAGTCGAGGTATAATCATAAAATAATAAAAAATAATATCATAATAATATGCACCTAACGATTATTCAAATATAAATCTTATAATAGGTTCGTAATAAATTCCAAGATAAACTGTTGTTATATTTATTTTTATTATAACAAAAATATTTCTAAAATTTATTGATTTATTATTTTAATTATCTTAATTATACATACTTTATTAATTTATTTTTGTTATAATACATATGATTCAATTCATTTGACAAATATTATTTTAAATTAGGTTATATTTAAACATCTTACTATTCATTTAGATTTGTTGTTCATTCATTCATTCATTCATTCATTCATTCATTCATTCATTCATTCATTCATTCATTTTCTTTTGCCAACTGACCCAGCAGAGGATGGAGCCAGCGACCTTCTTGCTGTGAGGCGACAGCACTACCCACTGCGCCACCGCGTCACCCTAGTTTTGTTTTGTTATAGTTATAAAATTAAATATCTGGCAATAAATATTTCTAGCAAGCTGTTTTTATGATTAGTTTGTATTAGTTTTCTGATTCTATAGTTTTTGTTTTAAATCTAATTACGTTTTTGTAATTTTGTTGTGTTTATGCCATATTTGTTCATTTTTCTTTTTTAAAATCATGAATGTATTAATACATCAATAAACACAGGAAACTACCCAGCAGACACGCAAAATCATAATAAGTCATTAATATCAGGTTAGATTTAGGTCGCCAGGGTCTAAGGACAATGTCATTTGGACGTTCAATAACGATGTGAAATGACGTTGACATTTTGTTGATTTTAGGTTGTGTTGAAAAGTGAGCAAAAACCAGCATTGCGCCAACTTCTTAAACTAACATCCGACGTCTGATAGATGTCATATTGGTAACATCCACACAAAAACAAGCTGTAATATCATTAGACACTGATATTTTGTTGTTTTTATGTTGTGTTGGAAAGTAACCAATATGCAATATCTGTTCGATGTTGGACACTGACGTCAGCCTGACGCTTTGTTCTGACGTCAACCCGATTTTCATTTCCAAACAAAATGCAACATCCCCCATCATTGGGGTAAAATGTCAACCTGATGTCATGTTGACGGCCTGTGCCTGCTGGGTAGAGGAAATAAAAAGTTAATTTACATTATTGATTTAAATTAATTTAAAATGTATTCTATTTTTATAATTAGCAAAACGGTTTAATATCCCTATACAGCTCACTGAATGTTTTTTAATATGCCAATGTTTCATTTCCAGGTTCCTAAAGCAATGCCTGTTCCTCCTCCTCCTCCACCTCCCCCAGCACCACCTCCCCCACCTCCACCTGCCACAGCTCCTGCACAAGTGAGATCTGCACACACAATTATACACAACAATTAATGTGACTCTAAACATTGTTTTCATGTTGGCTTTCTTTTTCTCCACCTGCCCGTTGCTTTCTCCCTCCCTGTCGTTGTTTCTGCAGGCCAGTTCATCCTGGCAACCACCTGGCTAGATTTGCATTATTAATTAGAGATAAAATTACACACGCAGGGATATACAGAACAGGTGTCACATGTTCAGATTTGCCTTTCTCGTTGTCGTTCAGCTGACAAAATATCTTTCCAAAAATACTTTCCTTTGACATAACCTCTAGAAAACAATTTAGAAAGTTGTGAGCTTGGAAAATTAGTTCCTGTGGTACCTCCAAAGATGGACATTTACTCACTATGTTAAGTTAATTTCAAGGCGATCACATGCTTATGATTGACCACAGCTGGTCTCAAATTGGTTACCCTATGATTCACCAGTAAGATGATTCTTGACTCACTATAAATAACCAGAGTTTCTAACCGCAGTTATCTTAGTCTTGATTGTGGAATCCCCCTTTCACCCCTACTCTTCCCCCTTTTCCTTGATAGGGCAGCATGGCGGCCCAGTGGTTAGCACCATCTCTCTCAACACTCCCGTTTTTCCTGGGATTCTCCCGTATTTTACAATTCTATCTTGCTATCATCCCGTAAAGGTATTTTGCTGTATTTGTCTTATATTTTTAATCTTTCTATGAAGGATGGCAACAAACATTAAAGAGCCGATCCTCCCTATACCCAACCCATACCGCCGAACCCCCAGGGGACGCCCCTTGCTCTAGTCTTAAATGTAAATCTGTTCTGTGCTTTCATTTTTTGGTGGAATGGTGGAATGGTGGAATTCCCTTCTTTTCCATTACATGCACTGTTGCCCTATGCTATCTTCAAAACAGTTAGTTTATGTAGTTGTGCGTGACTGTCAGACGCGTTCCATAATGATAAATAGACGCTGTTTCCCAAACGGATTCTGTGCACGCAATTTGAATTGAAGCAAAATCGGACACTGTGGGTTTTTAGGTGCGTAATTGAACAGACATAGGCTGCGTCCGAAGCCGCCTATTACTCAGTAGGTACTGCATTTGAATTTAAACGTACTATTCTGTCATTAGAAAAGTATGTTACAGTATGTGAGCAGTATGAATGGAACTAGGATGGCATTATGAGATAGTGCAGCATGCATTGGATGTACACTTCAGAATCTTGGGGGAAGTCATCCAATAATCCAGTTAGTAGTAAGTAGTAAGTAGTAAGTCATCCAATAATCCAGTTAGTCAATAATAATAATAATAATAATAATAATAATATCTAAAGATGTCTGGCAGGGTTTCCCTTTAAACACAATCAATTTGGTCTTAATTGAGCTTAAAAAGTTAGGAAATCTATCAAATGCTTTCATTATAGATCTGTGCATTTTTAAAGTGACACCTCTGTTATTTAATGCAATCAAATAAAAAATCTTTATGGGAAAATCATTCACTGCTCTTTAATCAGAATGTTTCAATTATACAATGAAGAATTACACAGTTTTAATTATACAGTGTGATTTGATAACTTGATGGGAGTGTATGCCCTATTTTCACATCCCAATGTTGACAGGTATGGTTAGCACTGTTGCCTCACAGCAAGAATGTCACTCGTTCAAGTCTTTCCTAGGCCAGTCAACGTTTCTGTGTGGAGGTTACATGATCTCCACATGCTCACGTGGGTTTTGCCCAGTTTCCTCCTATCCAAAGACATGCGACTTCCAAATTGACTAATCCAAATTGGCACCATACATGTGCTAGATGTGCTCCTAGTCAACAATTATCTCTTCATAGCAATTCCTATTTGGTCATTAACTACAAACAGTAAGGAAGTTCTCAAAATCTAGCTGAGCTCAATCCCCCCTTTCGCCCTGCAAATGGGAGGTAGCCCCAAGCTCGAGGATCTTATGAGCTCAGGGCTCTCTCCTGGGACAAAATGCCAAACATGCTTTATAATCAATCATCAGCTAAGCGTGAACTCTGGAACTATTTACAGACAAGTGGTTCCCAAACAATATTTGAGTTTCTTTTTTCTGTGAAGCAAAAATGTAAATATTTTGAATAATGTTGGAAACCAATAGACATTAGCATCTATTGTAAGAAAAAACATGGAAGTCAATGTGTACAAGATCTTTAATCTTTTATTTTAGGTATGTTTGAACAGGTATGAAACCAGTGTAGGATAAATAAACATTGACAGATTTTGTATATGGAGGTGAACTATCCCTTTCAGTGGTGTAAAGTAACTAATTGGAAATACTCAAATTACTGTAATTAATTACTTTTTCTCAGGAATTGTAACTTACTGAGTAGTTTTAAAAATGTGTACGTTTACTCTTACTTGAGTACATTTTTAGTGCTGTATCTGTACTTTTACTCCACTACTTTCCTTCAACCTGCAGTCACTACTTTTTTTCTTGTCTATGGAGATTAACAAAGTTAGTCCTGTAATTCCTGCCCAATCAAATCATACATAGAAGGTAAATAGCTTCATAATGAACGAACTCAAGACATGGGCGATTTATAATTGCAGCAAACTGTTTGGAAGCATTAAAAGTGTCCAAGTAGACATCCAAAATTAATATCAGTATTTGACGTCAATAGGATGTTGGTTTAAGATGTTGGCTCGACATTAGTTTTTGGTCGCTTTCTAACACAACCTAAAATCAACCAAATATCAACGTCATTTAACGTTGTTATTAGACATGAAAAAAACATTATCCTTAGACGCTGTCTAGACATTGAATTTTGGTCACCTGACATCACAACCTAAATCTAACCTAATATTAACATCCTATGACGTTGTGTGCCTGCTGGGCAATAACACGATGCACTACAGAATGTTACGTTTACACACATCCACAAATTACATGTAAACGCATCAGCTTTTCACAGCGTAATACTTACTACTCACTACTCATGAGTACTTTTAAAAGGGCTACTTTTTACTCCTACTTTGAGTAAAATTTACAACAGATACTTTTACTCTACTCGTACTACATTTTTATCCAAGTAATGGTACTTTAACTCGAGTATGATTTTTCAGTACTCTTTCCACCACTGATCCCTTTAATACTTTACATAATATGGGACTCAACACACGCTCGTTGGAAATGTGTTTTAGCCTACATTTTTGTGAAACTTCAAAAACGTAAAGCAAAAACATACATTTTATTACAATATCTACTTAAAAGAACACTATGTAGGGAGTATGACCCACAACTTTTGTTCCTTTTCACAATAATAACATTTACAGAGACATACTATTAATAAAATAACAATTGTTTTGTTTTTGCACAACACCAAATAAATAACAAATAAAATATGTAACATCTAAGATTTGAAATTGAAAATGTTTGCCTCAGGTTTTAATCTCCATTGGCCTGTTGCACAAAGCCAGTTTGGGTTTTTAGCCAGATAAGTTTTTTTTTTTTTTTTTGATCAAACTCTGAATATTCAGTCCCACAAAGGGGGGTAGGTTTTGATCTGGTTTCGTCACGATGGTAACACTACATGGCTAACCTGTTCTGGAGCAGGTTTTATTCTATGTTAGATATCACAAACCAAAACTTGAACCAAAGAAACTGAGACTGAAAGTGACATTTTATATGATGCAATAAAGCCACTCCCAGTTTCATTACATCTTTTTTTACTCCATTTTAAAGAATTTTACACTAAAACATTTTTGAGTCGAATTTGTTACTAATAATTTATATTATATGAATTAAAATTATGAATGCTACTTTTTATTATATTATATTAAAATAGATTAAAATTTATATCACTAATGCTTTTAATTTAAAATTTACATTTAAATGTTTACATATACAATTGCTTTAATATATGAAGTTATTAAAATGACATTTTTTAATAACAAACTCAAATTTTTGAAAATGGTTGATTTATCATATAAATGTTTGTAAATCTATTTCATTTAACTTTTTTTTTGTTTAAGATAAAGAGATATATTTATCATATATCTCTTTATCTTAAACAAAAAAGTGAATTACACTGAGAGGGATAAGAAAGGGCGCTCAGACTGACTCTCTCATGTGTCGTGTGATTGGCTGTTTGCTGCACGTGTCACAATTTCAGGTGCAAGTGTTGTTAATCACAAAATAGATTAAACCCTTAAAATGTGTTATAAAGAACACAAGAGTGATGTGAAACCGCTTAACAAGATCTTACTTATTTGGTTTAACTTGTTTTTTGCAATAGGTCTCAAGTGGACATCTGTTGCGGTCAGTTTGCTCGGTGAGCAATTGTGTTTGAGTATTGAGAAGTACGGTTCCACAAAACAAACAAAAGCAATAAATAGTCAAGGTGAAACTATGTGGTTGCAGTACACTTCTCTCTTATTTTGCTTTTGAAAACACAATTGTTTGGGTTTAGGGAAGGGTTAGTGATTTGCAAGTTGATCTTTACAACAGACCCTGTCTTCTCATGAACTTGTACAAGAAGAATGTGTATCTGAAACGTACAACTAAACATACTTATGTACACTCACCGGCTACTTTATAAGATACACCTGTCCAAATGCTTGTTAATGCAAATTTCTGATCAGCCAATCGCATGGCAGCATTTAGGCATGTAGAAGACGATGGTAAAGACGATATGCTGCAGTTCAAACTGAGCATCACAATGGGGAAGAAAGGTGGTTTAAATGACTTTGAACATGGCATAGTTGTTGGTGCCAGACGAGCTGATCTGAGTATTTCAGAAACTGCTGATCTACTAGATTCTCTAGTGTTTACAGAGAATGATCCAAAAAAGAGAAAATATCCAGTGAGCGACAGTTCTGTGGGCACAAATTCCTTGTTGATGCCAGAGGTCAGAGGAGAATGGCCAGACTGGAAACTCAAATAACCACTGGTTACAACCGAGCTATGCAGAAGAGCATCTCTGAATGCACAACACACCAAACATTAGGGCAGATAAGCTACCGCAGCCGAAGACCACACCGAGTGCCACTCCTGTTAGCTAAGAACAGGAAACTGATGCTACAATTCACACAGGCTCACCAAAATTGAACAATAGAAGAATGAAAAACTGTTGCCTGGTCTGATGAGTCTTGATTTCCGCTGCGACTTTCCATCAGAAAGTACCGTCAACAACATGAAAACATGGATCCATCCTGTCTTGTATAGTTCAAGCTGGTGGTGGTGGGGTTAAGGTGTGGGGTATAATATCTTGGCACACTTTGGGCCTGTTAGTACACATTGAGCATTGTGTCAATGACACAGCCTATACCTTAGTATTGTTGCTGACCATGTCCATCCCTTTATTACTACTGATCTTCTGATGGCTACTTCCAACAGGATAACGCACCATGTAATAAAGTATGAATCATCAAAGACTGGTTTCTTAAACATGACAATGAGTTCACTGTATTCAAATGGCCTCCACTGTCAGAAAGATGTACCAATAAGGTGGCCGCTGAGTGTAATTCATATTCGCAAATAAAAAATAGACATTGCTCCCCAGTGGATTTGTCTTCAGAAACATGCACAAAATGTACACTGGAGCAATGTTATTTTACATTTCCCTAAAATGTAAACTGAGGCTGATTTTTTCTAATGAGTGTGCGCTGATTGTACAATCAAGAGTTCAGCCTTCAGAGCCTTGCTTTCATTTACGTATAATTCAATATGTCAGCTAGCCCAATGTTTATTAAAATGGACATTTGAAACCAGCACTAAAAGAATAATTCAGCCCAAACTCAAAAGTGTAAATTATTTAATAATGTATTTATGTCTTGTGTTCTTCTGTTCTAGACAAACTTTAGCAGAGCTAAATGAATTAGATTGAGCTATTTGCTGCTTGAGTTTATATATTTTATGTATGATGGAAACTGTGACACTGTTAAACTTGTTAGAGTTGCATGAAGATAATAAATTCAGTAGCATCTTTTTCTTTTCCTTTAAAGTCACGAACAGATCCTCCAAAACTCCAGCATTCTGAGGGTGGAGGACGCAGTGCGCTTCTGTCTGACATTCAGAAGGGGACAAGACTGAAAAAGGTCGCACAGGTCAATGACCGAAGTGCACCAGTTTTTGACAGTGAGTGCAAGTCAAATTCATTCTGATAAGTTAACTAATATAGTTAAATGTGTTATGTGTTTCTGTTTGCATGGCATGGGGAGTACAAATGCTAAAACAATACTGGTTCATTTCTTTATTATCCAATTCGGCATAAATTTGCTGTATGATTTCATTTTGAACTATTGCTGATTAAGAAGAGTGTTAGATAGAGAACCTGTTCTCTTGAACAAATACAATTGATTTCAACAAAAGAGAATAAGAATAAAGAGAAGCCACTAGAGGGCATCAGATATAGTCTAAATGGTCAACAATTTATTAGGGCTTATCAGTGGCAGAGCTATATTTGAGCTCAAGGTCCATAGATTTTGGGTTCTCACACTTTAAAACACTCATGTGCACATATAGGCTTTCTACTTGTATATGAAAATGCACAGTGGTAGATAAAGGGCCAAGACTGGAAGTCTTGGAGTGAAAACCACACAGAAAGTGAAGGTGACAATGTTCCTTCTCTTCCTCTGTATTACAAAAGACAGCAGTAATTTTTATGCTCAGGATATGCAATATTCAGTAAAGGGTCATGGAATCACTTAACCTTACATTTTTGGGTTATGCGGCACACTTTTTTGTCAACAAGTCTTGTTGTTGGAGTGCTGTCTTTTGTTGGACCTTCTTTTGCAAACAGGAATTTCACCAGGATTGACCATGCAACACTTTGAGCTAGACTTTATTGTAGGGATGTAGGGATGAAAGGGATGGTAGGGGAACAGTGGGATGAAGGGGAGGAGAAGTAAGAGGATAAACAGTGACCAGGTAGATTGATCGGGCGTCCTACGATGATGCCCACAGACTCAGAGTTGGGGTATTGTCTCTGTAATATTTTGGTAGAGTGATTGGGCCCCCCCGATTCAACCTAGAAGGGAAGAGAGGATAATAGGATAATGGAAAGCAAAGAAATAGAGGGATGGAGGATGGGTTTGAGAAAACAAGTATAACAGTGCTAGAGGGCTGGTCTGCCTTAAATAAGTTTTAGGGAGTAGGTGTTTGGTTAAGGAGACAAAGTGAGGCGTGGTTCATCTACCAAACCTTTTGTTACCAAGTTAACTCCATTATTTGAAGATTAAAACTAAATAATAATTTAAATTGGGTTTTTAAAATAAATAAAAATGAAATATGTTACAAATTATCCAAAACATATTTACCAGGGCAAGCGAATTTATAGATCAACTCTTAACAAGACCACCTATTAGGGATAGTTCACCCAAAAATAAAGATCTCCGCACCATTTACTCACACTCAAGTGGTTGTTAACTTTCATTAGCTTCTTTCTTCTATTGAACACAAAACTAGGTATTCTGAAGAATGTTGAAAAAAAGTGTCTGTTAGCACTGAACAAAAATACCATGGAACTCGATGGAAACAAAACAAATGAAACAAATGGAACAAGACACAAATGGAGGATTAGTAAATGATGATAGATGTTTCATTTCTGGGTGAACTATTCCTATGAGGTCACGATAGAATAGATTGTGAGCAATCAATCAATCCTTGTAATTAGCATATAAAATGAAGGCAAATGGCCAGGAATATTTACAACAGCCAAAATGTTACGGCAAAATGTTTTATCAGAGATTCTCTGGGATGACAAGGTGTACAGGTTGCTTCCAGTCATCAGTATTGAGAATGCACTACAAAGACTTACCCAAGCATGAGGGCAGCAAAGGCTATTCTGTAGAAGCCAATAGAATGTACATTTTATAAAGATGGTTATGGGTGGAAACTAGGGATGCAACAATACAGTTAGCCCAAAGTATACATAGGTATACATTCCTCAGTTTTTTAACACGGTTTTCAGTTCGGTTCTCATAGCTTGACACGTGTTTTTTAATTTTTTTATTCTATAGGCATTAGGAACAGTAAGAGGTTAAGGAGAAAAAAATAAAAACGATTGACTGCAATACTCATTTTGTTTTACTTAAAAGCAAAGAAAAGTACACAAGTTCCTAGTGTATTGTATAAAAAAATTAACACTGAAATCTTACAGCTGCTGGTAGCCCATGTACAAACTAGGGAACACATAAATTCCTACATTTTGAAAATAAACATACATGTGAAGTTAATAAAGAGAAATTGTCCATTTCAAATAAACAAATTTGTACTTAAGTAAACAAAAATAAACCATCCTAATTTTCTCGGTGCTGAAAAAAATGCGAGACTGTAGTCTGTAACGCGGATTGCTTTTATAAGATGACAAAAGCCCACATCTTCAATCACCGAAAACTGCTGCAAATCTTTAGCAATAAACAACCGCACTGCCTTTGTTATTTTTATGTGTCTCTCGGAACCAGTTGGGTATGTTTGCTTGAAAGATTCAGCAAGGGGTTGTTGCTATTTGGAGGACTTTATTACCTTCTCTGCTATGCTGCCTTCAGACAGTGATATTGCTGGGTGATGCGCTGCAGAAGTGCAGTCATGGTTATACGTGTAAAACAATGCTTGCACACAGTTATTTTTTGTTCACCGTTTTATCTTTTATTGGCATTATGCTTACCGGCAAAACCGAAATGTTCTCACACCGCAGATTAGAAAGACACCGGCGTTGCCTCAGCCTCACTTCACCATGTTAAAGTGTGGAATGATGGTTAAGCGCCCCCTAACTTTAGAGCATAGTGATTGGATATTTACTAGTGGCGAGGAGTTTCCTCATCTCAGCTCATGGACTTACAGGCACACACAGCCAATTCGGGGAGATATTAAAGCACATAAATTATTTAAATGCAAAACCGAGAAAAACGCAATTCACAAGCACGTATTGAACCGTGGATGTCCAACCGAACTGTTCAATATTATATTAATAGCCATGGCATCCCTAGTGGAAACACAATTTTGCAAACCAATCAAGGTACTTATGAGGATCTCTGCCTATATTAGAAAGAGCTTAGAATTGGCATGTAAGCATCAGAAATAGACTATTGAGCAGTAGAAAAAAAATCACCTGATCTGCTTAAATTAGTGCCCAAGCCTGGTTTTGGTAAAGGTGCAGGTCACAGTCAGTCCCAGATGTAATTTGTTCAAGCTGACTTTAGGGGTCAGGACTTCTTTAGGACTTGTCTTGTCACCAAGGTCTTTGATTAGGATCTGTTCTGTGGGCTTATCTCATCTGTCTTTGCTGATTAAGGAGGGATGGATACCCTGGTGTCTTGTGGCATTGATGATCCTTGGTTGCCCAATAACCTTCACTGCTGATCGGCAGAAACCAGAAAGACTTGCCCTAACCCTACACCTAACCTTAGAACAGATTTGAATAATATATAGCATTTGATAGATAAAGAAACAGGTTCCACTTGTTGAACTCACAATATGCATAATGGAGATCAATGTATTCTCAGAACCTAAAGTGAATAATGTGGATGACAGTGGAAGAAGTACAGGGAACTCCTCAAACACAGCGGGATCTGCTCCACCTGCAGTGACCCCAAGTCTTGGTGGACTGTTTGCTAAAGGATTTCCTGTTCTTAAACCAGTTGGACAAAGAGACAAACGAACTCATCACAATCCAGGTATTTAATCCAAGTCTATTTATTGCAATGCATTGTATTTTGAAAATGGAAGGTAACTTTTGGAAATGGTTGTTTGTTTCAGTGTCTCGTTCCGGTTCTACTGCAAGCCTGAAGCAACCTCTCTGGAACCCTCCATCACAAGGAGATGGTTTTAGAGGAAGCGCCCCTGATCTCTCTCCCTCGCACAGACCTTTAGAGAGAACCTCTTCACAGTCCAAGGCTCGTCCTGTTTCCTCATACACACCTCCAACCTCCCCCAGCCAAACTACACATCCTACTTTCAAACTGTCCTCTACCCCTCCTTCCTCTGCCCCACCCCCTCCTCCACCACCTCACCAGGAACGTCCTATTAACAAACCACCTCCTCTCCCCACTTGCCCACCACCACCCCCGCCTCCTCAAATGGCCAAACCCACTTGGTTACCCGTCCAATCACACTCCATCCCCATGCCTACAACCCCACCTCCTCCACTGCCACCCTCAGTTCCTCCATCCTCTCTTCCTGACAGATCATCTGGGGTTTCCTACCCACCGCCTCCTCCACCACCTCCATCGGTTCCTCCATCATCACTCCCTGACAGGTTATCTGGGTTTTTTTACCCTCCGCCTCCTCCACCATTGTCATCACACTCTAACCGCTCATCTGGAGTCTTCTATCCATTGCCTCCATCTCCGGGGTCATTTGAAATGAAGGATAGTCCATTAGGACCTCCTCCCCCACCTCCACCTCTTCCTGCTTCATTTGCGTGCAGTCACTCCTCCTCAGCACCTCCTCCACTACCCCAGAAAGCTCCTCCTTTGCCTTCACCAACATACAGGCCCAGCGTACCACCTTTACCACCGTCCTACCCCTGTAATGCCCCCAGCAGACGCCCCCCTGCAGTGCCACGTTTTGCAGGTAAATCAAAAGTGCAATAAAATACATTTGAAATGGGGTCAGGAATATTTGTTGAAAGCAGAAATTCTGTATTTGCTCAAATAATCAGAGCTCTGGTCTGCATAAGAGTATGCTCATCATGGGTCTCATTTATAAAAATACTGCATTGAAAGCTTCCTACATTTACATTTTTTGTTTACCCGACGATTTTATCCAAAGCGACTTGCAAGTAATAAAAATCAAAGTTCAATCCAAATCTTCTCGAGAACTCCCCTGCAATTTTCTAATGACAAATTAGGGATTGCTACAGAGAGATATGCTGCTGATTAAGAGCTCGTCTATGGTGCTAATTTGGTTTTGGTCAGTTCACCTATGTCGCAAGTTTTTGGACTGTGGAAGGAAACCTGAAAACCAGGGGGAAACCCAAGCGTGCAGAGGGAGAATGTGTAAACTCCACACAGAAACGTCGACTGGCCTGTTAAAGACTTGGACCAGTGACGTTCTTGCTGTGAGGCAACAGTGCTAACCACTGGGCCGCCGTGTCGCCCTTTCGAGGAAGAGAAAGGTGAAGTAGGTGTGGAAGGGGGTTGATTCTTCAAGTCAAATATGACTGAGGTAAGGAACTAGCAGCAGTCATTTATTAGCACGAAACAAATAAACTTCACTTAGTCATCACAAAGGAATTGTTCTTCTTAACCAGATCTTACTGTAGCATGGGTAAAACGAGGGCTTAAATTAGAGGATCTGGCAAAACCATAATGGAATTTAAATAAGTGAATCATGCTTCAGTAGGGTTGCAAAATTATTTGAATTTGTATTTGAATTTGAGGATGGGTAGTGGTAGATAATAGTGTCATATGTATTCTGAATACATCTGAACCTCTGAATCTTGCACCTAACAAATATTATTTAGAAAAAAAAAACTAAAATCAACACTGAAGCTAATAAAAACTAAACTAAAACTAAGCCATTTCAAAGCATAAAAACTTATAAATACTAGTAAATCTCTCTCTAAAAACAAATTACAACTTACTGAATTTGAAAACAAAAAGTCGAAATGAGATAAAAACTAAAACTATAAGTTATAAAGTGCAGTTATAGAAAAACTATGGTGATATTACAGATGGATTTACTATGAACATTATATACAGGTTATATTAGCTTTGAACAGAGATTTACAATAACAGAAAATATGTACAGGATGCTATTAATAATCAGAAGTGTGCAGATAAATAAGCATAATTACAAATGTATATGTACAGTGGGTATGTACATAATTACAATTGTCCATGTGCAGTGGGTATGTATAGTTCAAGTATGTACTTGCAAGTCTGATACCCTTACCATTGAGCTACATTAATTGACATGGGAATATGTATATGAACTAACTGATCTCTGTTAGTAAATTTTGGTTAACTAATGTCTTACCTAAAAATCTCACTGACTCCATGAACAGTAGTGTGTAATAGCAATTATATTTATATTTAATTGAAATTAGGTTATGAAGTCATTTTTGGATTTACAGGTGCTCCACGGATGGCTCCACCCCCTGCTCCACCAGCCCGCTCTCCTAACACTGAGCTATCCAGCAGGATCCCACCTCCTCCGCCCCTTCCAGTATCTGCTGCACCTGGATCAGTGCGCAATGGACACCTGCACAGTTTAGGTGAGACTGCAGGTTAAACAATATTGATAAAGCTGAAGGTCTTAAGGTATAATACACAAAAAAAAAACTAAAATTCTGCAATCGTTCAAAATCGTTCAAAAACTTGGCTTTCTTTCTTCTGTTGAACACAAATGAAGATATTTTGAAAAATGCTGGTAGATGGGACTCATTCAATTTCATTATAAGTATACAAGTATAGTACACTATCTGGCATAAGTCTTGTTGTCGATCCCAGTTGTAAGAGCAAGAAATAATAACTTGACTCCTAGTTGATCATTTGGAAAAGGGACAGAAGGTACAATGAACTATTGGAAGCCGCATGGACTCAAGATTCTTACAGAAACCAGTCAAGTTTGGTGAAGGAAAACAACATCATCAGCCTGATGTATCAAGACATTTGTGCAGCCCATTATATTACAAACCCCACGAGTGGGCAATTTTTTTTAGCAGGATAGCGCTCCTTCTTATACTTCAGCCTTCTCATCAAGTTCCTGAAAGCAAAGAAGATCAAGGTGCTCCAGGATTGGCCAGCCCAGTCTCCAGAAGGAGAAGGCACTGAAGATGAATCCAAAAATTCTTGATGAACTCTGGGAGTCCTGCAAGAACGCTTTCTTTGCCATTCCAGATGACTTTATTAATAAGTGATTTGAGTGATTGCAGAGATGTATGGATCCAATCCTCCAAGCTCATGGGATTTATACCCAATATTAATTCTTTTTCCACTGCACCATGACTGCATATTGTATACGGATCATTATTTCTGTTAAGTGACAAGACATTTGTCTGAGCAAAGTCAGACCTTGCTGTCCTATTTAAATAATGAAAAAATCATGGCATGATCATATTTTATTTTAGTTAAAAAAGCATAATCTAGAGGCATTTGTCTGTCATATAAGCCACTTCTGATATCAAATGATCAACTATAGGTCAAGTTTTTATTTGTTGTTCCTAAAACTTGGATAAATGACAAGACTTTTGTCAGGTAGTGTATAAATAAGTCAATGGGTGCTACCACACGATAAATCCTGATAAATTCATATTACTCAAAACTTTTGAATAAACTAATTAACTTCATTATTTCGAATTTTACATTTGAATTTTGTATTACAACATGTTTGTGATGAGTTAGACTTGTCACAATGTTAATTTCAAATAATGAATTAATTTGTGCAGTGTGTTTGAATAAACATCACATTAAGTCAAATATTTCTGATCAAGTTTTAGTTTTAGCAATAACGTGTTATTGAAACTATCAAAGAGATGCACTCTCGTGTGGATAGTGGGTCTTCAGCAAAACCACAGACTTCAGTGGTAACCATATTATTTTCAATATACAGTAACAGAAACATTTCTAAATCCCAACAAAACATTTCAAATTAATTTTATCTTCCTATCTAAAACTGTTAATTTCAACTTTATATATTCAGACTCAAAGCATGTTAGAAAAGAGATATATTTTTATTTATAAGTCAGTTAATTAGGTCAATTAACTTAATACAATCAAATTGAGTCCACATAATGTTTTCTACTAAGGACAATGAACACATCAATATTTGAGTGAAAAGAACAAATGAATTTCACTCTTTGTTTTCACTGCAAAAAGCAGTTGGAAATTTACTACAGCAATAATGTGATTTGTTAAATGTGTACTGATATGTTTGTGATGACCCATAACACTAACATGGCATTTGTTGTTTGTCCAGCTCACAGAAGTGTCTTTGTCTGTTTTACAGATGACTTTGAATCAAAGTTTCACTTCCATCCAATAGAGGACTTTCCCCCTCCCGAAGAGTTCAGGCCCTTCCCACGTATCTACCCCAGCAAGGAGAACAGAGGTACAGCAAGCTCTTTGTGTGTAAGGAAAGGTGAAGTCTCTTTAGTGACAGTACTCACAATATTGCCTCTGTTTAAAGAGTATTGAGACTTCAGAGTTCAGAGAGATGAGAGGAGATGCGATTGTCTTGTTCTGTTTCATCTATGTGTAATTGTAAAATATCTTTCTTAAAAGTGATAATTTACTCAAAATGAAAATGACATGCTTGATTAATTTGATCCGAGAAGATTTTTATCAGAGTTCTTTTGATTCTTAGAAGTCAACTGCTATCTGCGTTTTGAGAGTAAAAAAAACTATTGCAAATTATTGCCATTATGAGACAGAAATCGTACACTAAAGACTGAACAACTTTCGTTGGATTAAAGGTAATTATGTTGTAAAGGATGTTCAGTTTAGACTGATTGCTTTACTTCATATGTTTTTTTTTTATAACTAAATCAGTTTATTAAAAGTATTTCAGAAGCTTTACTGAATACTGCAGTAAAATTCTGGAAGTAATAAATTACATTTTAAATAATATTTTGAATTATTTCTATTTTTACTGTACTTTTGATCAAATACATGCAGTCCTTGTGAGCATAGGATACATAAAAATGTAAAAACACAGATAGTGGTATTGTAATATCCAAGATAAAACAAGTATGCATACAACACTGTGTATAAATATTTTCCTCAGTTCCTCAGTTTGGTTTCATGGTAAAGCACAAACTGAATCTGACACTGAACTCTTCTTGTTTTGTTTTACAGTAAACCCACATCCTCCTGCCATGATGACTCATTTAAGATAAAATGGGACAATATGGATATAAAGTACGGTGCTAACCTTTATCAGGATGTTTATTTAAGTCATCATCAGTGAAGAACAGCAGCCAAATCTGTTGGTGAAATGAACTCTCGTTCAACAAAATCTGTAAAAACATTCTGCAAAAAAAACAACAACAACAACAACAACAAAGACATCTTCTTGTTGACATTACACTTTCAAATAAAAGCCATGTTTGTTTGTAAAAGGGAAGAAGTTTGACCAGTAAGAGTGAAACAGGGTTTTCAAGGTAAATGGTTAAAACAGATAAAAATATATACCCTTTTGAGGGATGTAAACAATAACAATGGACCTAACACATTTCCCTTTTTACATATTTAATTACCATAGCTCCCGAGAATCCTAAAAGGTACACACACTGATAAATATGAAAGCTATTTTAACCTAGATATATGATTGAATTGTCTCATGTTAGTTATTTAAAAAATTGACAACAAGCAGGAAGTGTTCATGGGCCAATGTCATCACCACATCGAAATGACATTGTATAAACTAAAACTGTTTTTTAGGCAATATTGTCTGTTTTTTGCTTCCTGTGGCTGCTTTAGTCTTTTTGTTACAGAGTCTCTTTGTCTAAAAAATCAAATCAACACCTAATAACATACCTGTTTCTGCTCAATCAACATTTAATTGCTTCATCTCTCTGTATTTAAAATCTGTGCCAGTATGAATTGCTGTATTAAAGCTCTGAATCAGGAGAAAAATACTCAAGCGAGACTATGGGTAACAGTGCCACCCACTGGACATGCTTGCAATTTATTGCTCTGACTGAATCTGAATACATTATATAACCCAATAAACAACATGTACAAGACACACTCGTTTGCGTGATTATTAAGCATAGTTTCATAAAGGACACAGTTCAATAAATAAAAAAATAAATGAATACCATAAATATCTGCTTGTAATACATGCTGTTCCAGCGAAATACTACTTAGTCTGTTGTTAGCAATGTTAAGCCTTAATCATGCAATAAATATTAATCAAACTAATAAATAAGTTTCATATAAACATATTATACATTGCTTTTTATCATATCTTCTCAATACACAATATTATATACCCAAAACATTCATCCTTCAGCTTAGCTGCCATTAAAACATACTAGCATCAAGGAACAGGTTAAGTTATACCTTATAT